CAGGGGTTGATGAATGTAGAAAGCAGCTAAGTATAAAATCTAAATACTGCTTATTTACTTAATTTCTGGTATAAAACTGTGTGGTAAAATATAGAGGAGGGCGGGGTGGATGTACAAATTAAGTATAAAATAATATAATATTATTGCTTGTTGAAGTTAGGGAGGTGAATGAATTTGGGGGAGAAGGTGTCTAAACAAGTATATATATTAATATAGTTTGTTTTTTCATAATTTGGTGTAAAATGCCTGTTTCATTGTAATGTTTTAAATGAGCATAGGATTTACATGAAAAACATAGATTTTTGTCAATTTCATGATTTAGAATTGTTGCTGTTAAATTCATTTCTTGGAGGTTGTATAAATGTTTTTATGTATAATTTTATTGTATGGAAATTTTACTATTCATATCTTGTATATATTTCTTTGTTGCATTGGATCATAATGTACCCTGAAATGCCATTTATCAAATATTTCTATTGCAAGGGTTTTCTGAATATTTATAGCATGGAAAGTGGCCGAATTGTACAAATGAAGTACTGTATGTTAATCATTCGATATTGAACAGAATAAAAGAAAATTTAGTAAAGGGTTTTAAGATGTGTAAAAAAAAAAACTATTTTTTGATCGGCCTAAGTTCGGAAAGCTTGTATATTTTGCCTGAAAATCACACGTAGTACTTGAAGCAAAGTTAGGAGGTATATGGTACCAAATGTATGTTTTCAATGACAGTGTGTTTATCAGTATTTTGTAAGTTCTGTACATATGTATATTAAAAAGGTGTTTTGTGCCTATTATGTTTATATTGTACGATAATGTTCTCTTAATAATAAGAGTAGGTATGTACAGTCTAAGTTTGGGTAACGGAAGATGGATTTAAACAGATAAAAGTACTACTGTGATGCCGGTGGGACATTTATTTCATGCCACTTTAAACCATTATTTATATTTTCATTACTTCGAATAGCTATAATTAAATCATGATCCCGAGTCCTGATTCTCATTTAAAGTTGTTATGTAGGTTTTTCGCAATCAATAATGATAATGAATATTCTGGTCATACGAGTCTATAAATATTCTGGTTTGCATGATATACACATAATGATGCCTTTGTCTAATAACGATTGGCTCAAAAATTGTAAAATTAATGACGTTATTGTTTTCCTAAGTTAGCGATACGTCCTATTTAATATTGCCTTCACTAAAATACACACTTTTTGGACAAATCATGGATAGTGACGGTTAGTAGATTTGTACGTAAAATTATGCATTTAATTGTTTTGCCAAAATGTACTTGTTATTTAAAGTTTATGAATTTTTTTTAACACAAAAGGAATTCAAATTGCGGTGCACAAGTTTTTATTATTGTTTGTTCTTCTAAGATCAATATGTGGTTTTGATTTAAAGAGTTTTGTAATTACCCATGCCTACTTCACAATAGACCTTTCCGCTAAGCCCACTCCTTTGAAATTAGTACTATGGTCCCACAAAACTACAGTTAAGAAAAAGAAAATTACGCAATCACGTGTGTTTGTGGGACACGCGTGTATTCCTTGCCCTGTTTTGATTGGTCGCTTGTTAAGTTTGAATGACAATCTGGAAAGGTCTATACTTTACCATTATGTGGACTAGAGCAGCCTGTTGTGGTTACACACACCAAACAATAGTACACGGTTGCTTTATTTAGATGTTGTTTACCGCTTGTTCTGATTTCGACAAAAAAAGAATATCTTGCGTTATTGAAATATCTACAACCAGACTACCCATCTGGTAAAATGCAGCTGTTTGCGTAAGCGTAGCAGCATAATACGGTTAGCCTTCTAAATTTAATGAATCTTGTATGATTTCGCTAACAAATTCTAAACCTCTGTCCAGATTATCAAACTTTTTTTTTGACAAAAAACTGGTTTATTCCCATATATAGTCATGATGTGCCCATGTATGGTCATGATGTGATGTCATCCTGACCATATTTAGGCATGTTGCATGCTTTTGTCAAACAAAATATGATAGTCGCGCCTATTGCATCATCAGATATTTCAATCGCAAGGAATCAGAGCATTTTGTACTGAGAGGAGTGAATTGGTTATATGAATATCTGGACATATCATTGTAGAATTGTAAACAAAACAAACGTCAGGGTCAAGGGGAGGTCATTTGTTCATTCGGACTTATGTTGTTCAATAACTTGTTGGTTAATTTCAGTTTTAAAAAGACTTATCTACAGTAACACTGACACAATTAAGTGATCTTGGATAAATTTAAACCAGTTAGGACAAGAATCGGAAAATAAAGTAATGCATTGTCCTTGTTTTCATCATATACAATTGATAACTTCAGAAATTTCATGTATTAAGAGCTATGATATTATTGTGTTTGTTTCCCCTTTATGTTATGACATTTGACTTTTATCCAGATACATCATTTTATAGTAGGTATACTGTAAATGTGAAGTACAGTATTTGAATATATTAGAAATTTTAAAGTGGTGTGGAAATATACCGTCATGACTTTAACACCAAGGTATAGTCACAAATCTGAAGTGTCTTTGTGATTGTTTTTAAAGCAAAGAGACGCATAGAAATAATATAAAAATATCAGAGATGAAGTTTGTTTAGACTGTTTGCTTTATTTCTGTGCTTATTCGGAGGATGGAATTTGTTTGAATGTTGGATGGACTTTATCTACTGAAGACTTTCATTTCTGGTTTTATTGTCAAGCTCATTACAAACTAAATTGAATTATGAAAAGATTTAAATACAAATATAAACAATTTCACAAAATAATTAATTATACCTTAAACTTTAAAAGAACAACATTAAAATACCATTTGAAAAAATCACATCAAAGCAACAAGAGCTTTTACCAATAACAATCATCAAGAAGATAATAAAAATTAGCAGAAAAAGGATGGCCACTCAACATTTTCAAAAGAATTAAAAACCATTAATAAAATAATTAACAACAAAAGCAACAGCAAACACTTTCAAATTAAAATACAGTACTGTACGAACAGTGGCATATGTAGGAGTCTTGGAATGGGGGTGCGAAGCTGACTCATGTGATCGATGGTTAAATGATGGGGTTCCAGCTTACAAAATAAGGTGATAGGCCTATGAGATGATTATCTAAATTTCTAAAAATAGAGATAGACGGGGTGGGGCGAGTTTTTTTTTAGGGCATCCTGTGTTCGGCTCTAGATACGAATAAGCGAAACGCACAACATAATCTGCTACATAAATAGGAAAATACAAAAACAATATTTAAAAATTAAACTGTTGTACAAAGATTCGGTTATTGAGCTGTGTACAATCTTGAAAACCCGGGCCGTCAGATATTCACGAGTTAAAGCGCATACGAGACAAATCGAAACCGTTTCATTGCACTGATTACACCACTTTTGCTACGACAATCCTTAAATTATCTGCTCTTCAATTTAAGAATTTGTAATTATAATCGGATTTAGCCCCAATAGACATGCGTCTATTTGGGCTTAATTTGCCCGTCGGGGTCCAAGGTCCCAGACCGGGGCGAGGGGGGGGGGGCGGTGTGGTCGTCCAGGGGACGTACCCCCCCCCCCCCGAAAATAAGACAATTTACGGGTTTCAAAGGCTTATTTAATCGATTTTAGAGTCTATTAATATGTACAAAATACATATAGTTTTTTTGATTTTTTTTTCTCTCCTAGGCCTGCGTAGCGCCGCCACTGCGCGAGGTATTAATATTTTCGGCTCTGATTAGTAAACAAATCAACTATTGCATGTTATTTAAGTTTTGTTCAACACATTCTCTGAAGTTTAACCGTTTTTATGGGAGGCACCTGTTAACTAATATTTGTATTGTTCTTATTCGTTAAATTTGCATTTAAATGAGGGAGATCAACACAGCGATTTATAGGGTGGTTTGTATCTGACATTATTTGTTCCAATATATTATCCATAGCATTGTTACCCTATTTCTTCAAGTGTTCTTATGTTGTCTTTCAAAGCTTGTGCTTGAATTTCTAGTAGGCCTATTATTTATTAACGTTCACGCGTTTAAATTATGGATAATTATGTTTGTATGTTTTGGATCAGTGTGTGAGATGGGCCTAGAGCTATCGATGTTATAATCATGGCCTAGGCCCATAAAGAAGATTTTCCTGTCTGTATCAAGTAAAGGAGATATGACATTGAGAATCTAAATACCATCTACCGTAAGCTATATCGATGTTGCCGCGCGGGTAAGTTATTTTTGTTATTATTTTATATTTTTCTATGACTTCGGCTGATATTGAGGCGTGTGTCTGCAGACTATACGTATTCAGGCCTATTATAGTTAAAATCTATCTTTTGTGTGTGCTTCGTTTTTGTGTTTTACTCTGTTCTTGGCAGTTATTCAACTTGGACCTGCCATAAATCATATGTAACGCCTACGTGCGTTTTCGTGTAGTGTATTTGTGTTTATAACCTTTACGTGGAATAAAATTTGGTGTACTGGTAGGGTATACTCTACGATATGTTACCTACCGGTATGCTTATGTAAAAGCAGTTTTTTCCCTGCCATAGCAACCACGCCTCTCAGGCCCGTAGCCCTATACGCAACGGGAGGGGGAAGAGGGAGGGCTGCGATGGGTGAGTACGCACCCCACATCCCCAAATTACCATAGGTCCATATTTTTGTTCCGGAAATCCATTCACCAAACTCCTTGACCAATCACAGTAGTTAGGACTGCCTCTAATTCGTCGTACATGCAAGGAATTTTAACTATATTTATAAGCTTTTTGAAGAATTTGAGTGTTTTCCCTGTGTCAGTGTGACTCATCGAGTACAAACTCATCTTCTTTCAGGTTTCATTAAAATTATCTTTATTCTCCTTAAGTCTGACAGTGCCATTTCCGACCATTTAGAAGTGTCATAATCATAAATTTTCTTACCTCAACCCTACCATGGTGGGGCTGAGGTGTTCGACTCCCATATGTAGAAGTATTTCCAGGCCTCCTATGTTGATGGGTTTCTTTTCGAGGCTACTTTTGCAAACTATAGAGGGGGCTTCAATTCGATATGGACTTCTTCTCGAGATTAAGTCACCGTTGGGCTTCTATTCGAGGTTTTACGGTTGGTCTCTAGAGATATAGCGTACGTGCGTTTCCGTGTGTTTCTATCAATTTTTTTTATTGTTACACGTAGGTATAGCTATTGAAAACCTGAATTTTTCCACGCCTCTCCTCCGTTCCTAAATCTACCTGCGTTCGTTTACTTTTCACGCACAGAAGGCCTACAATAGTAGAATTGTTAGTTTTAGTATTTTATAGCGATAAATTAAAAAAAACACAAACCAATCGTGATAATAAAGTGCTTCCTACCTCATCATTACCAATATCACAGATTGTTGTGTATACCTGTAGTAATTTCATAGTGTTCGTATATTTGTTATTATTTTTGTTTATATATTATTGTTTTGGTGGGTGTTCTTCTCTGGGTCTAATATTCTCAAACGAAAAGTTTAAATCTGTAAATAAACCTACTGTTCTTTTAAACATTTTAAGATCATTTCTTTTGCCGTTCTTTTTGCTTATACCTACCGACATTTCCTTCATTCAGATTTCCGTTATTCTGGTTACTGGTGATATAATTCAATATTAATTGTTTTGTACAAGTTAATTCTTGTTTCTTTAATCACCGACTACGTTCAACTCACACAATTTTTGTTTTAATCGGCCTTATTCAATCCGGTTTGGAGGGAATTTCAATCTGAAATTGGTCTTCTCGTCTGCGACTTACTTCTTGTCAGTCTTTTTATAGGCCTATATATTAAACGCAATACCAGTGCACCGAAATAAATACAGTATTATTTTCGTAATTAACTCTGTTTTATTTTAATATAACATATTTCCTTATACAGACATATTCACTTTGTTATATTTTTTAGATTTCTTCGATTTTTATGATTTCACCAGACAATATAATTTGTTTAATCCTCAAACTGTGGTAAAAGTAACACAGAGGCAGTCTCTTCAACCTCATGAAAATAAAATGACATTAGCAATTTAGAATTCCACTTGAGGCCTTACGTGTAATTTCCCATATTTTTTTGTGTCAGTATTGTAAGAAAATAGTAGTAAAACCTAAATACACATTCCTTGTACATTTCAAAGTTAAAACACACTACCAGCTTACTGTTTAGGCCAATTTAAGTGCAAATAATTGATATAGTTAAGGCCTAGACCATTCCAAAAAAAATCCCAAAAAAACGTACTAGTCGGGAAGACGGCCATTACTGTCTATGCCTTAACAACTTATACTTTATAATTATTATAATATTCACATTTTATTAAAGGGTACGATAGTGGCTATAGTTACACCAGTCTTAAAACAAATCCCTTATTCTGACTGGATGTCTTGCTCTAATCCAGTCAATACATACAGTAATATCCAATTAAGATTTTTTTAAAGACTGGCGTATCTATAACTGCTGCCTTATTGAACACTAGACAGATGCATCCATAAACAATTAAAAATAATACTGGCATTAAATAATTACATATTAATATACTATATAAGATAATGCACATTTTTTCAGGGCAGGCAATTAATGAGAACAATTTGTTGGCTAGCTTGAAAATCCAGGCCTTACTCAATTGCCAGAAAAAAAACCACATTTTTAAATGGATTGCATTGGTACATGTTAGTCACTGGTTGTGCATGTATACCAAAGTAAACCAATAAAATCGCTTTATTTGTAACAATCTATTAACGTGCATACTTCCTGATCCATTTTTTACCTTGAGCCAATTTATAATATTTTAAAATACAGAGAAAACATAAGACAAAAGAATGACAATTTAATCTAGAAATATTTTGTTTATATATATCTGAGGCATAGTATACAATGTATCATTCAAATATTTTTAATTATTATTTAATCCATGCTGGGAAAATGTGAAGGAGTGTGGGAAGAGAGAGAAAGAGAGAGACTATAGGTACTGCCATTTTTTAGATAGAAGTCTTGGAATTTGTACAGAACCAATCCAGAAATTGATATACATCAACTTATCCATATGATAATGTATAAGAAAAAATGTGAGTTTGTCTTCCAATGGAACAGTCAAGATCTAACTGGAATCTCTGGGTCGTATAATGAGACAGCTGGTAAATCATCAATAGTTGAATGATGCAACTTGGTAGCATTTTTACGCCTTGAGGAGCGCATTGACAACAGCACGCACATTCAGGTTGCGCAGATCTCGATAGGTCTGACCTGTTCCGACAAAGACAATTGGTTGACCAGTTGTGTAGGTCATTGAGATTGCAGCTCCAACCTATAAAAAAAAAAACAATAATATTGTGACATTTTATCAAAAGAAATTTAGTATGAAAATTTATCCACTACACTACACCACCATTCACTGTCCCTTTTTTAATTCTTACCTTATCATCAATGGTGTCAAATTTAGTAAGGACAATACCATCGATGAGCCGTGGGTTGGTCATGTTGGAGTGGTCAGCAAGTGCCTGGTTGAACTTGGTTAGCTGGTCAACTGCTTCATTTCCAACTAAAGCCTCGCCAACAAACAAAACTAAATCCGGTTGGTTGATCTTTATTAGCTGCAAAACAGTAACAGTATGTCAAAATTAGTTACATCTTGTAATAATAGATACTACTCGGCAATAAAGCAAAAGTATTAAATATTTTGACTAACAGTATAGGTATATAACAGAATATAGGTTTCCAATTAAAGACTACTTTTGGGACCAAGGTTGAAATGAATCGAGTTAATGGTAAATTAACAACCACTAATTAATTTACCTTTGAGAGTGACCTCATTAATGGTTCATTATCCTGCATTCTGCCAGCGGTATCAACAAGTACAACATCAAAACGCATGTCACGAGCTGCAAACCAAAAAAAAAAAAAAAAAAAAATATATATATATATATATATATATATATACATACATTAATATTCTCAATTACTGTATTTGGAAGTTATATCTGTCTTAGACCAGACTTTTTTATACCTTGTTTAGTGAACCCGCCGCTTGCCAATAATGATAATTTTGAATGAATTTTTGATCTATTAGCACACCTGCCGCTACAAAAAATGGAAATTTCAGAAAAAAATAAAAGTTCTTTATTTTTATTACCACCGCCACTGCCTTGAAATCTCCAAAAATAAGATATGTGTATTTCTTCCTAATTATATAAATTTAAAGCATTTAATCATCACATTACTACATTGTTTTACATTCACCAAAATATTTTTTTTAATTTTCTCCGCCACTTGAATGTTTTTGGCAAACTATTTTCTAAACCGATAAAGGAATAGAAACAGATCCTTCTAAAATTGCAAATACATTAAATAACTACTTTGTAAAAGTTGGACCTAATTTAGCCGAAAATATTCCTGATGGTAAAGAAAGGACAGACTTAAATGAAAGTTTAATAATTGATAATGACCTAATCTTCAATTTTAATTTAGTGGACCAGGAATATGTTTATAAGAAACTAATTTCTTTGTCTGTAAATAAAACAACTGGGATTGATGATATCCCTGCTAAATTGATAAGGTTATCAATAGATACTATTGTTGGTCCACTAACATATCTTATTAACTTGTCACTTTCAACTGGTGTGTTTCCAATTTCGCTGTAAGTTTGTCTTCAACCTAGCTGTAGTCCAAATTGGAGGAGGACTGGTTAGAAAAAAGTTGAGGGTTAATGTTCCTCACCCCATCAACCGAGTACCAACAGAATAAAATTAATTACCAATGAGATGGTCTCGCATCTTGGTGAGCACCGGATCCATGTCCTCTTTAGATAAGGTCTTTGAACTCACAAGTCCTTTAAACATGTTAAACATACCAAACCCTCCTCTCGTCTCTCTGTGTACAAATACAAACATACTAGAATTAATATTTTCCTATCCTAACAGTAAAATTATATTAACTTAAATGAGTAATTAGCATAAAATTACATATAGGTTCCAACATTAATAATCTTTGTCTTTTATTGTCACCTTGCATTGGGGAAGACACAATAGCCTCACCAGAGCTTTGGGGAGGCTAGAATAATTTCAATTAAAGTAGAATTGTTTGAAAAAAAGATATGGGAGTTGTCATCTGAGGTACAGGTCATCTCATTTAGTTGCTGAACAAGCTTTGGAGACTTTTACACTGAAATTATTTTGATAAAATATTAAAATGGCTAAAATATTGGAGCTTCCTGGGGGAATATGTCCCTGAGCCCCATTCAAACTTCCCCCCTCAAACAATATGTCCTTCGTTTGCACTTCACGCCACCTCTTGAATCTGCCCCCTGTTAACTGTATCTGTATTGTAACAATAATGGATCCTTACGTAGACTTTGGTTTGTCCTTTTCTTCCTCCACCTCCTCTTCTTCTCCACTTGATTCATCATCAATGTTCTGCAATGCTCCTTTCATAGTACCAACATATTGTTGCTGAAATAACATTCACTTGTCATTTAGTTTAATCGTGACCATGATGTTGGTAGTTTGTGAGTGAAGTACTTAACAGGATAAACTTCCCTCCCATCCAATCCTCTCCTAAATCAGCTTAGTGTCTTGAGATTGAAGGCTATTGTTTGGGAAATGGTTTGCATATGGTGGAATGGACTGTTCTATTTTTCAAAGGGGTAAGTATTGAAGAAATAGACATAAAAAATCAATCCATAACAACTCACTTCGTCTGCTACTTTGTCATCCACAGGTAGCTGGTTATCAAGCCCGTCGGCGGTGCTGTTACTGTAATCCAAATCAGGTTGGTCTTTACTTGTACCACCATTTTCCCACTTACGATCTTGTTTTTGTCTCTTTGCTTTGGTAACTGGCTTACTGAAATTACACAATAGAAGGAAAGGGCAAGATGCTACTACAAGCTGTAGACAGCTCCATCCTCTCTGAGACTCATAACAGAGTGAAAGTTATTTTAGTCAAAATGTTGTATTGTATCTTAGTGCCAACCTTCCAAAGCCCTGGGTTCAAACGATGCAAACTCGAGGGGTTTATTAAAAATAAAGTTACTTTTAAGTCTTGATAATTTATTAATTTTACTATATTCTTATGTTTATTCAATGTACATAAGGTAACTAGTACCTTAATTAGACAATAGGGAGAATTTTACCCTCAAGGTAGAATACATATGAACACACATGTGGCATTTTTTTGTAGGAATCACCTAAAGCTGAATGATATTCTATGTTAACATTAGTTACACTGGCATGACTTTTTCCTTCTTCTTCTTCCCTGCCGTATTAAACAGTTTTGCACGGTTGCGATTAATGGTCTCCTCATCTAGCACCACATCATCATCCACAGCATTACCTGCAGGCTTAGCAACCACTTCTTTCTTGGGTGCTGAAAGAAAGCAAGATCATTATCATTGTCATGATTTCCTACTCGACATATATCCAAACAGTAAAGACATGATTAGGAATCCCTCTTTGATATATGAAATATCAACACAATTCACAAAGTTGAAACAGAATTCTGAAATAAATTTTTATTCCGTGTTAAATACAAGAAGAATCTGGTCTCAAAACAACTCCATGAACTTTGGTTTCAAAAAAATCCCCAGAAAGAAAAACCTATTGTCTTATATACTTAAGCCCTAGAATTCCAGAGCATTCTATTACAGAACTTTCTCTTTTAGTCACATTGCATCATAATCAGACAATAGGCTTAATTGTCCCTACGGTGCTTTAGTATCCAGAACCTTGTAGACTTTCATTGGATTCCACATGTTCTCCTGTTTTCCTATAAATACCAAAGTGGTTTGTTTGGTCAAATATGTTATTCTAGAATGTTCTGTCTTAAATGTGTTACACTAAGAAATCAATCAATTGTTCAATTTATATGGCGCCATTCCTAATTTATTACATTCATCATCATCAAAATCATCAGTATCATCATCATCATCACCAACATCATTATTATCATCACCATCATCATAATAATTATGAGTATTAGTTATCATCATCCTGTATCTCAACATTTTATTATATAATTTGTTGTAATTGCACCATTTACTTTCACTGTCCAATCATCAAGATGACAAACATCAAAAACAATACTCATAAAACTACAGTACTGATGCTAATTTAACTCTATACCTTTCTTAGGTTTCTGTTCCTTCTCTTCTTTCTTATTCTCAATTATCATTGACTGTAGAGTTTTCTTTGATTTTTGAGATTCTTCAAATGTTTTCATCTGCAATTAATCAAAAAAGACAAGATTTATCCATCCACGCACCTTATGTTTGAAAAATGTTTTGCTTTATTTTACATCAGGTTTACTAACAATACTTTGAATGAATGACCAATCTAGAAGTATCTCATTCGTTACCATGTTTTTATACTATCATTTTCTTTTTTATTTGCATATTTTGTATCTCCAAAAGTTTTTTTTATCACTTGATAAATACTGCAAACATTTTATCAATTTACTATTTGCATTCAAATTGTTTTGTTCTTTAACCTTGTAATTTTTTTATCTTTAGGTATATATTTTAGTATACTAATTATATATATTCATGTAAGGAATATCATATAAAAATTTAAGTAATAAATATAAATAAGTCTTATTAAGTAAGTAATAACATTATTTTAAAAATATTACCTGTATCTTAGTAACTACTTTACTGGAATCTTCAGCGTCTCTCAGCATCTGCTGAAAACGACCGTTGAAATCAAAAGTTCCATAAAGGTTTTTGTTGTGCAGGTCATCTTTGTAAAGGTCTCGGAATTGCCGGTGAATATCATCCAAGAATTTATCCACATACGAAAGGGTCAAAATCTTTTGGTATGCAACCTGAAAGGAGGCAGAATTGAAGATGCATGATATTAGATCAGCTGTGTCAATTGACTCTCCTACTCCTAGTACTTACTCTCTCACGTAAATATTTTTTTATTTTTTCTGCAGTAGATATTTAAGTTACTATCTAAAAAGCTGAGAAGAATAAATTAAATTTTCATTAATTGTTAATGCAATCTTCATTCACTCATGTTATACCAACTTTGCTGGCATCCGATGCACGATACAAAAAAAAAATAAAATAAAATAAAATTTTAAAAATGTATATAGCCCTCTACGTAAAAATCATGAAATAGAGCGCCCTCTGTTATTTTTTTTAAATTGTAGTAATAGAACTGCTACTGATTACAGTTGTCAGTCAGTTTAAAATAATTTTATTTTAACAAAAAACACCAAATATCATTACACAGGCAGTTGTAGGGGAAATATTTATCTCATTATACAAACAAAGCAATCAAATCATCTTTTTTTTTCTAGCTTACACTACCTTTCTTAAGAAACTCACCACAAATATGAGTTCAAACTCATTATCAAGTTTGTACTTCAGGGTTAGTTGCCCATGGTTGTAGGTGTTTGTGCCACCTCTTTCCTAAATGAGTAAACCAACAATAATACATCATGGTTGGGATAATTGTTTTAAAACAATTATTAAAAAATATATGTGCTTACCATTTTATACTGCCACAACATATCAAATGATCAATACATAATCAGACAAAAGTTAATTGTTTTCAAGTATATATGAAGTAACTATGAAGAATGACTGTGCTGCAAATCCAAGTCATCTTTCTTTGCAAATTTCAAGTTAATGAAAAATTGTTAATATATTCATCAGAAACAACACAACATAAATATGATCATAACATAATAAGAAATGAAACGAAATTAGGCCTAATAGAATATCAAAATACTACTAATATTATTAGGCCTAAATATTTTCGGCTAAGCCTGGGGGCTAACAGGAACTTGATTCGAGAAGAAGAATCTACGTTAATAATGTAGGCCTAGGCCCTAGGCCCAGTCTATCTCCCACATAGGATAGGCTTCTAATCTTAGCCAATGCTAGGCCTCTCTACGTAGACGAATTATGACTGATGCCAGGCAGTGAATGCCCAGTTAGTGGTGTGCATGATTATGCATGGTATCGTCATGTTTAGGCCTAGAGTAATCGAAAGAAAATTCATACCTGTAGAATCACGTTCTTAATGAGTTCATTGACAGATGGTCCATATGACTGGCAGATGCCTTGAACATGCTGAAAGCACCACAAAACAATCCCCCCTTTACTGAAAATCGTAAATAAATCTAACATATTGAATCTTTCGTGTCGATCACAAACTGCCAACTTGCATTTTATCATGGGATTTGTTGACATGCGCAGAGTGACAGTTGAATGCAAGGGAAAATTTTGTGTATTTTTGATCAATCAATCAAAATATTTATATAGCGCCAATAATAATAAATTGTAGTAATTGAACTGCTACTGATTACAGTTGTCAGTCAGTTAAGCTTTGTTAAAATAATTTTATATGGCCTTTATTCGCATAACAAATTGATATTTTTATGAATTGCAGAGTACTATAATTGGCTTATACAGTACATTTTATTGTTTATAAAATTTTTATGATGCGTGAAATAATACAACATAGACGTGAGACAGAAAAAGTGATGCTCATGTGTGAGACTCGCGCATCATGTTCGAGAGTTGGCAGGTGTATCATGTTTTATTCAAACAGAAATGTTTCAAATAATACTTTTTGTGAAGTAAAGTTTAGTAGATGATTTCACAGACTTTTATGGCTACTTGCATGTGCACAATAAAGTACACCAAATATCATTACACAGGCAGTGTAGGGGAAATATTTATCTCATTATACAAAGAAAGCAATCAAATCATCATTTTTTCTAGCTTACACTACCTTTCTTAAGAAACTTACCACAAATATGAGTTCAAACTCATTATCAAGTTTGTACTTCAGGGTTAGTTGCCCATGGTTGTAGGTGTTTGTGCCACCTCTTTCCTAAATGAGTAAACCAACAATAATACATCATTTGGTTGGGATAATTTTTTTTAAACAATTATTAAAAAATATATGTGCTTACCATTTTATACTGCCACAACATATCAAATGATCAATAGGGCCTACATAATCAGACATAAGTTAATTGTTTTCAAGTATATATGAAGTAACTATGAAGAATGACTGTGCTGCAAATCCAAGTCATCTTTTTTTGCAAATTTCAAGTTCAATGAAAAATTGTTAATATATTCATCAGGAACAACACAACAGAAACATGATCATATTCATAACATAATAAGAAATGAAAAGAAATTAATAGAATATCAAAATACTAATAATATTATTAAATATTTTCGCCTAAGCCTGGCCTGGGCTAACAGGAACTTGATTCGAGAAGAAGAATCTACGTTAATAATGTAGGCCTAGGCCCTAGGCCCAGTCTATCTCCCACATAGGATAGGCTTCTAATCTTAGCCAATGCTAGGCCTCTCTACGTAGACGAATTATGACTGACGACAGGCAGTGAATGCCCAGTTAGTGGTGTGCATGATTATGCATGGTATCGTCATGTTTAGGCCTAGAGTAATCGAAAGAAAATTCATACCTGTAGAATCATGTTCTTAATTAGTTCATTGACAGATGGTCCATATGACTGGCAGATGCCTTGAACATGCTGAAAGCACCACAAAACAATCCCCCCTTTACTGAAAATCGTAAATAAATCTAACATATTGAATCTTTCGTGTCGATCACAAACTGCCAACTTGCATTTTATCATGGGATTTGTTGACATGCGCAGAGTGACAGTTGAATGCAAGGGAAAATTTTGTGTATTTTTGATCAATCAATCAAAATATTTATATAGCGCCAATAATAATAGTATTGATAATTTTATAACTCGAGGTTGTAATGTTCTACAATATTTAAATATATAACAATGAATATTTATTTTTAATTTTAGTTAGTACACTGTACAGGGGACAGAGAATGTTTGTGATACGTGTTTATTTTTAGATAATTTCCCGTCGTAGGCGTCAGTAAAGGTTGGGGAAATTCCTCCTCCCCCTCTAGCTCCGCGGAATTTTGATCAAAGATTTCATCATTTCAGCGTTGGTCATAGAGCGTATAAAAATTACAGTTAAATATGTCACTATCTTTTACGGTGTAGTAAATTTAGGTACACCGTTTATTAATTGTTTTAATTTTAGATTTTAAAAGGAATATCATAGCCTATCGTATGGTAGGCCTATTATCTAAATTTTTTTTAAAGCCATGAGTGAAAATTAGTAAAAAGAAGTTTATTAATGTTAAGGTAACATATATTTATTTTAAGTTTTACCATGATTGATTTAAAATGCCATGTCGGACGACTGTTATCCCAATTTGTCAATAAAATATCTATCTACTGTATTTAAATTTAATAAACCGATAATCATCATCCTCCGGGCCGGCACCATCACCGCCGCGTCCTCGTCATCAGTAGGCATATCTTATCTGAATCGTCATCATGATAATCATTGCATATTGATACAGTAGTTGCTACGTCATACACAATTAGCCTACAGACACCATATATAGATAATCCACACACGTACCTAAATTTCTTCGTGGCATCTTAAAATTAAAATAATTCTTCACAATAGGAATAATAATGAGGTAGGCCTACACAAAATGTAATAAATATACAGATTATAGCATACTGTGCGCAAAATTAATTGATTCATTTGCAGTGGCGTAGCTAGAGGTTTGGCGCCCGGGGACAAGAGTAAAAAATTGCGCTCCTTTTCCTCCCCCCCCCCCCCCCCAAATTATAATTAAAATATTTTGAATTGATATTGGTTTACTTTAAGTATACCCGTACTGTACGTCCATTTTTATGCACTTTTATAACATTATTTAAACCCGAATAACTATTATTATTCTAGCTCTCATTCTTTCTTACCAGGGGTGGCGCCAATATTGGCCCGAGCGGGTCCGAGGTCTGTGTGGGGGAGGGGGAGATGCCCCGATGAGGAGAAAGATTTCCTGACGGGAGCAAAGTGGGTGTGATCGAGCGTCGCTTAAAATCTTCCGAAAGTGGTCTGTGGGCGAAGCCCCCGAAAAGATTTGACAATTTATGGGTTTCAAAGGCTTATTTAATCGATTTTAGAGTCTACTAATAATGTAGGCTACAAAATAATTTTTTCCCCCAACGAATTATGGTTTATCTCTCCGGCGAAGGGGAGGGGGAGGGGGGTGCAGCTATTCCCGAAGGGGTGAGGGCCTAGCGCCATCGCTGTAGCTTGCTATTGAAACTGCATTACAATGTTGGGAAATTTGTATACAACTTTACCGTTATCCTAATGTGTAAGGCTCATGGGCGTCGATTGGTGGGGACAGGGGGACACGTCCTCCCCCACTTTGAAAAGTGGGGGACATCATATCGATTGTTCCCCCACTTTTCACGAATCTTCTATAATTAAAACCCCACTTTTTACAAGCGAATGAAAAGAATACCAATTACGCATGACTCATGAATTTTGTCTGTTCACTTTTGGTGATATTACCTCGTATTTACCTCGGTTTGATGGTTTTATTTTAACTGCTGTTACTAATATAACAACATTAAAAAGTAGAACTCAAATAAAATTAACAGACCATTCTGATTCAATATTTATTTTGGTATATCATTAGTTCAGTTTATTTCTCATCATCAAAACATTGTACAAAACAGATAAAATTCGCACAAGGCAAGACAAAATAATATTACAATAAAAGATAAGGATAGTCTATAAAAGTTTTCTTTAAGAAGTAAAAATTCGTAAAATAAGGTGATTTTAGGTGGTTTTTAATTACTTGACCGTGATTTGAAACCAGTGTCAGTATAATCTTAGGTAAGCATAAGCATAAACATAAGCTAGTTGTCTCAGACATAAGCAAGAATTTAGTCGTCGTAGTCCCCACCGATCATTAGAAGTTATTTAGTTAGTATAATTTTATTTGGAAAAGTAATCTCAAAATCGAGTTGCCGTCCCCGGCGTTTTCAGTGACGTCGTATGATTTGTGTGCGATTTTTACCAATTAACCCCTAAGTAAAAAATAGTTGAGCCATGTAGTACCTTGCAAATCAACCCAGAAACCCGGTAGTTTGTTGATTATTTATTGGTAGCGTCCCTTCGCTGCCAAAAAAAGAGGTTTTTTGGCAGTTGCGTCACCGGGGACATCGTGAGGGCTGGTTACGATTTGGTGGCACATCGATTGAGATTCATCTGGCCATGTAAGTCAGTGGCGTATCTAGATGTTTTGAAATGGGAGGCTGATTGGTGGGAGGGGCGCGAAGGTGTAGTGGGGAGGGGTGGCGCTCGATGATCAGTTGAGGGGCGCTAATTCGCAAAATAGGGTGATTTTAGGTGAATTTTAACTACTTGACCGTGATTTGAAACCAGTTTCAGTATAATCTTATTATACACATCTAGATGTGTATAAGAGACAGCTATTTATATAGTCCAGAAAATCTTGAGATTTTAAAAGCAATCTTGGGATTTTTTAGACTCAATCTTGGGAATTTTGAATTCTCGCCATTGGGACATAAAAACAGCGGTGCCCAGGTATTTTACGACGTTGTCTTATAATTATAAATAGATCCATTATAAGTAACGTACACAGCTTGGTGATGGCGAAGTCGTTGTTGTACCATAAAACGAACCCGCTTGCATGACGTTTTCAGTTGACCAAAAATAGTAGGCAACACAGTTAATAATTGAATCACCGAATCAACAATAGTTTGCTTAAATTAAAAGGTTGTTAAAAGTAACGTCCAATGTGGCACTACATAAAACCAATTATAAACATGAAAGTGTACAACGATAAATGCGGTGCAAATGAGGCTAAATTGTCATAGAAGTAAAAAACGCGAAAGAAGAACAACATTAATAATAATAAAATAATAATAATAATAATAATAATAATAATAATAATAATATATTATTATTAATAATAATAATAATATATTATTAATAATAATAATAATATTAATAATAAATTAATAATAATAATAATAATAAGATTGGGGGAATCACAATATAAAAGCAGTAACATTTAAATAATTAAAACTTTAAAATACAGACAAAATGAGGCTAAACAATTTATATCGTAAAAGTAAAAAAGCGCGAAAGAAAAAAAAAACAATAAAAAAGATAATACAAATAATAATAGTAATAATAACAACAACAATACAACATACAAATTCAATAGTAAGAAAGATTGGGGAACACAATAATAATAAATAAGACTTTAGGATATGTAATACAAAAGCGCTTCAGTCTTGCAAAGGAGCATTGATTTGCTCCTTTGCCGTTTTGGTCTATTCCTATTGCCGTTTTGGTCTATTCCTATTGCCGTTTTTGTAGTTGACATTGCCGTTTTGGTCTGTTGCCGTTTTGTCCAGAAACCGTCCATCATCATCATCATCATCACAAAATAATAACAATTGCCGAAATTGATCTTGGGATTGATCACAAGTAAATAAATATTATGAGGTAGACAAAATACATAGGCTACGAACATTCACATAGTTAGTGTTCAATTAAACACTGTATTGATATTTTAAAAGACACGTTAAAGTGTAGTCCTGTATAGAGCAACCCGAATCTTTTCTTTGTAATGATGCCAAACTTTAAGGAACATTTTTCATATGGAATTAACGATGACATTACCAGTAAAAATATAAACTATAAAATCAAAATGAGGTATGATCCAGAATATTCGTTTTAATTTCAATCAAAAGATAGTACTCTACTGTAGACGGACCCGTACCATTAACTACATGGTGCTAAACAATGAACTGTAAATTTAATGTTGGCACTAATGAGAATATAAAATATTTTAAAAAATTAATTAAAATCCAAAAAAACTCATTAAAATTCTTATTTTACAAGTAAAGCAAACTATAGTATACTATACACAGACCCGTATCATTTAACCACACAATGTGCCATTGTTATCATTTTTAAAATTTAATTAAATTAAATTAATTTTTATTTATTTATCCACAGAGGCCCAGCTAGATCAACACAGGGTTGTTCTTCCCTAGGCCTGTGCACATAAATACAAGAAAAAAAAAATTACAGAAATTTAATAAAATTATAAAAATAGATCAAAATAATGTATTAATCTTATGCGTAAATGAACTAAGTATTGCAGCATTTTGTGTATCTAAGCTAAGTTTATTCCATTCTAATGCTATGCCTAAAATTTAATTACTTATACAGTCTTAACACATATTTACAAGACAGGAAGGCAACATATTATGGAGAACTTTATGTAGAAAAGATACAATGCAAAAATACGAACAAGTTCGGCCACGATGTATGGAATGCATTTTTGTATTGTATGTTTTAAGTCAATTCGATTCATTGAAGCAATATTCAATAGGCCTATCCTAATACTGATAATTATAATATAATAAATATGTGTATTGACTCAAAACACTGTGAGAAAGCCGAACAACATGTTCTATTTATGCCATTTTGCAAAGGGAAACCTATGCCAGGCATAACAATAATACAAGGGACAAGCATAATTTCAAGTTTAACAAACTTAAAATCCTTACTGGTAACTCTGATAAGGTAATTTATTTAGTAAGTATAGTGTATATATGTATATTAGATAGGACACTGCAAAACTTGTATAATTTCCTGATTTTTTGGGTGATAAATACATCGCGGCCGAACTGGTTCGCGGCCGAAACAGATGGCCTTCAACACGGACAGCATATATGCATAAATAGTTTCTTCATTGTAAAGTTGATATTAAAGACAAATCATATCTTTTTAAAATAGAATACATTACTGTATAAAAATCTGCAAATTCAGAAAATATGATTTATGTTTAACTTATAAGAATTTAAGGCCTTGAGGCAAGCCTCTATACATGTTGATGCTAATTACAGCCCACAATACCTCTTAGAATTGATTAGATTGTATCTATTTGGTGTAAACACCAAGGATAAGCCAAGAAAGTCCGAAGACTTATTTCAAGTGGTGTCCTTCTGGTGGTGATGAGGGAGCTTTCGATTTGTGCGACGACGCGACGCTAGAACGGAATCACTCATGTGTGACCGTCCTACCTGGCGACCTACGTTCTCTGCGTACGTAGATTTGGCCAAATTGCGTTCCAGAATCTACTCGACAAGGTGACCTTAACGTTCTCGCATGCGCAGATGACTTTTAGTGACGTCATTACGTTCTACGTCCTACCGTCGTCGTGCAATCGAAGTGCTCCCTTCTATGTGCGGTACACCGGGAGACAATAATCCCCTACTCTTTTCCGTGCACATGGCCCATATTCCACACAGTTCTGTCACTTTAAAATGCATTTTCATTTTTAAGGACGAATAAATGATTTCAGTTTAAATTTGTGGAGATTACTCCCAATGAGTTGACAAATTTGTGGAATAGTCTATTCTACCAGTGCCTTCCTATACTGTTACAATTCAACTGCCTTATAGGTTCCACGTATCTCTGCGTACCGTTGGGCCGAGATCAGGTTTACCTACAAAAGTAACCTTCTCAGCACTTTGATGCTGCTCAAAAATAACAATCTGAAAACGGTACAGGTATATAAAATTAGTTGAATTGGTAACATGAAAGGTAACAATATATATATTAAAGATACTGTTGAATTTATAAGCATGAACAATAAATGATTGACTTATTACTGTGACTTTCAATTACAAATTACAAACAATATTTTCCTCTCCAATGTCTAGATGATGCATAAATAATACAGTTTCTACATTCAAAATCCTTAACAGGTGTGGATCCAGTACGGGGCACGTGCCTCCCCGTTTCGCCACTAAATTTTACAATTTCAATGCATATCAGTGTTATGTATTAAAATAAATGCTACTCGCATATCTATTCTGAAAGTGTTGTGTGCCCCACGCCCCCACCCTTTTGAAAAATTCTGGATCTGCCTCTGCTTAAATTGAATTTATGAAATGTAAAAAGAGTGTTTCTCCACACATAGAATTTAATCTTATCCAAATATTACCTCATTTCTGCCTGCCTTCAACAGTGGTCCTGGAACATAGTAGGTTTTTTGTGGTCCTATTCTCCAATACCTTCCAATGTTGAAGCTGTTTATAAATACAATGCCTTTATCCCAGCCCTATACAAGATAAGAGTAGCAGGTTAGTTATATTTAGCGCAATGCTTATTCTAAGAACTGCATTGCCTGTTAAGTTCTATTTCATTTAATTCAATTTACAAACGAAAATACATCATTTGGATAAATACATAATTTCAGAAAGTGGTTGTAGAAAATAGTTAAAATATATATATATATATATATATGAAGTTATGTATAATTTTATTATTTACTAATAATATACTAAGCATGTCATCAAATCTTGGAGCACAATCCCATATCTCATCCCACCCTTTAATTAAGAATGTATGATTCTGAAAGGAGAAGTTTATCGACTTTCTATAATTTGAGAACAGATTTAGCACAGTTGCATAATATCCCATTCTAGAAATTATGAATCTTGTGCGCATTCATCACGTAGATGCTCTAAACCAAATTGGCGATGACGTACCAGGACATCTAGGTCTACATTTACTTCTTTTCCTACCAGGCCCATTCAATATTATTTTTATATACAAAGATAGTAATAATACAAAGAACTTGTCTAGAATCATCTTAAGCCTATGCATTACAATGGTCTGTCGCTAAACGTGGATGGAGCAATCACCAATTTGGTTTTGAGTGTATACGTAACAAACGCACACGAAATTTGTAATTTCAAAAATGGGATATTATGTATTACTGTGTATGGTAAATCAGTTTTCAAATTATATAAAATCGGTAAACTTTTCCTTAAAAAATAACAGCTCTTCATTGTGCTTCGGAATTATTGGCAAGGGTGAGTTTTTCATATGGAAGATTCAATGCTTCATCTCAGTTTATTGGTTAAGAAATTTTTCAAATGGATAGATACTATATACATCCTGCACCTACCTCCATGCTCAAGAATGTGTCCTTTGGTGTCCTATATGGTATTTCAAAGGATCCTTTATAAAGTGCCGGTACTTTGATCCCAGGCCTCATAACCTGCCATCTGTCTGCTGCCATCACTCTGTGAAAAAGAATGACTGAGGAGTTGCAAAGTAAAATCAAACAGTAAAAATAACTCAACTTGGTTCTGGCTGAGCAACTAGTAAACACAATTGATAATTATTAATCAAACTTAATTGAAAAAAAATGCCTTCAATATAGAGTAGGCCTACTCACCCTTCCATGAATGGCTTCTTAAATTCCAAGGGATAAATTAACCAGTCTGTCTCTACCTTTCCATTCACTTCTACATCCTCTAGTAATCCTATATAAGTACATAAATGGTAGAATATTATCTTTCAAAATTTTATTGAAAAATACAAGTTGGTTTATAGCAATCCTAAGTGAATTATAGCTCAACTAGTCCTACCTTTCCTTTCAGAAATCATGTCTTTCTTAGCACTAAGTCTTCCTTGATTTTCCACAAGAATATCAAGTGTAACGATGTCATCAGATTTCAACTCATTTATTTCCTGAAGCCAAATGAGAAAAACAAAATTATTCATTATTATTATTATTAATTATTATTATTATTTTTTATTATTGTTATTATTATTATTATTATTATTATTATTATTATTATTATTATCATTATCATTATTCCTAATTAGCCAATGAGCCAAGGATTGCCAATAGTGATCTTAATCACTGTCTTATAAGTGACAATCTTTTCACAGGGCAAACATATACACATAATCCTCTGCTTAAGTCTAAACATGAGGGTTAGGCAGTGTAGTTGCACAGTACCTTCTTCACTTCTTCCAGGTTCAGAAGTTTGACAGGGTTGACCTTTGATCTTGATATGACCCCTGCTGGGTGGCCACCAAAAAAGACCTAATTTAAACAAGAAAGAGGCAATAGTAACCAAGACCTAATTTATAAAGGAATAGTAACCATAGCTACAGATAATTATTGCTTTCAGGTTTTGTTCATTTTGTTAGACTTAAATAAAGTACAAATAGTAAAAATTTCACTCCAAAAATTGACAAAGCTATTTTATTCAACGTTTTGCTTTTATTTAAAGCATTATCAGGAATAATACACATAATAAAAAGAGAGAAAATTATATACAGTACAAGTTACCAGAAATCTTACAGTACAAGTTACCAGAAAATTTCTCTTTGTATTATATGTATTCAATTCCTTGATGCTTAAATAAAAGCGAAACATTGAATAAAATGGCCTGTCAATTATTGGAGTGACATGCATACTATTTGTACTTAAACTTAGTGCACATCCTAATGGTTTCTTAAATAAAGTATAATTTTTAAGAATAAACATTCAGTTTTGTTGCCTATGCGTAAAAATATAATTAAGAAATCATACTTTTCTTGTACCAGTATTAATTATTCTATTTAAATGCATTGGTTGATTAATGAATTTATCCGACCTGAGCTCTATCTTGAGGTAGCTGAACAAAATCTAGTTCACTGGCTGCTCCTGTGACCTTTGTCCTATAGAGTATGTAGCCGTATCCTTGACCGCCATTATTATTTATTGGTAACATCTCCATCGGCATGACTTTTTTAGATTTAAAAGTTGTCTGAAAAATTGAAAGTAAAACGAAAAATAATGAGGATGTATGTGCAATGTTTATTATATGAAATGCCAGATTTGACTGTTCCATTTACTTTATAAGGTGTATACACTTTAGGAAATTGGCAATAGTTGGTTTATCCAGGTTAAGTACACATTTAAATTATATTATATAATATTAGATATAGTTAACATATTATTTAAACACATTGATATTTCTATTATCCTACTTGATGCACTATGAAATAGTTGAATAAAAATTTAAGGGACAAACATATTGTTCCAATTAGGATGCAAACTTATTGTCTACATTATCATTTGCAAAACTAAGTGTAAAATAAAGGAATATTATGTTCTCACGCCAAGAAGAGGTAGCATGTCCTCCAAAGTAATGAAATGAGTGATAGTAACTTCTCCATATGCTATTTTACCAAGAGACACAGGAATGTTGGGCAAACGACCAGGAACTAGATATAAAAAATATGATCACCATACATATCACGTTCATGAATAATGAAAACAGACCATGTGCATACATATGATTTATATATAACTTAAAAGAAGTAATAGTAAAAAATAAACTAAAATTTGTAAGAAGGAAATATATTTTATCATTTTATAAGTAGCAAATACTATAAGATATTAAAAGAATTGCTTACCAACTCCTTTAGGTGTTTGCTCCTTCAAAAGGGCTTTAATCTTGAAATACTTTTCAGTGGCATCCCCAGCTTCAGAAAGAGGAGCATCATAATCTAAAAACATATTTAAAAAATATAAAGAAATCATAAATATGTAACTTTATTTAACATTTGTTCATTTTGAAAACTTTGAACATTGTTTTGTATGTCTCATTTATGTTCCATTCATTAAGTCTTTTGTGTTCTATTGTTTTAAGACCCAGTTTTCTTCATATTCAAACCCATGATCTTAAACTTTAGTTGAAAGACAAAAGCTTAACCACTGCATACATACCATAGCTTGTAACATCTGGTTGATATGTTCGATGATTAACTATGTTGGCACCATTCCAAAATCCAAAGGTTGTGCCACCGTGAAACATGTAGAAGTTAATAGATGCTTGAAGCTTTATGACTTCCTTTACAGCCGTTACGAGACCTACCAGAAGAACAAAATTTTATGATTTGAAATTTACCCGGAAAACAATGGTGGTACTAGTTGTAGAGGGGGTTTGCCCCTTGACATAGCTAGCATCTGTTAAAAATTGTTAAAATCCTTATGGACAGCTTAGCCTGCTGTGTAATTTACTATACAGCTCCACTGCTAATGACTTGTCATCTATAAGACAAGTGGTCTATTATATTGTATACCTTTTGAGGGATATATATGATGCTTTTCACTCCAGTGGTCAAACTACCCTGGCCAAAATTCCATCACCATCAATGGCACATCATCACCCTGAAAAATGGAATGGGGAAACACTCTCAAAATATGGAGTCAATTGTTTCCATATAAACCAAGTTATACAGCAGTCTAGTCTCATATACTCCCAAAATTTGGTCTAGCAACCAGTTACACTCCTGTGGTCTATAATCTCTCTGTAAAGGTAACTTGCATTCCTGTGGTTTAGTCCCACTCAACCTCAATTGAGGTTACAGTTATGTAATCTTACTCTTCCATCAAGGTATGTTATTCCTTTGTGCCTTACTACAGTGTAGCCGTCCTCACTTCCATTGGCCACACTTACACAAACTATTATAGGGCACACTCATTTCTATTAAGGCTATACCAACTTACATTAAAGCCATACCAAGGTTCTTTCACAAAAAAACCTCACCTGTAGTTTCCTAACCATTCCAAAATGCCTGTTTGCATCCTTCTCAAAATTTACTGTCATTAGAACTTGAAAATGAAAAATGAGAAACAGAAAACGAATTAGTCTAGCAAGCATATTCACATAAACACAGCATAAATACTGACACTTTTTATTTTGATTTAAATCAGATATTTATATAGCACCCTCCTATGAGAAAACAATGTACTTCTGTCCCAGATCATTGGGTCCACATGCTGAAGTGTTGCTGCTGTAATCCGCACAGAAGCAGGCAACTCCACCAGATAACCATTTATACTCCTAGGTGGAGTATGCAGTTAAAGTCCCTTGCTCATGGACACAAGTCAAATACACAGCAAGTGATTGAAACCTCAAATTCAAGGTTGGCAAACAACTTCAACCGGAGATTGTACATTTACTAACCTCCAGGCATGTACCCTTGCTTGAGGCGACCACTTGTAACAGAAGTCAACAACATCTCCTTAACTCCTCTGGTTAATAGTATCTTTCAAATGTCAAAAACAAGAGTAAAAGAACAAACTAAAAACCTCGTTTGAAATGAGTCTGAAAATATGTAATTAATTATTATTTAGAACCATGCTTAATTAGGTTTTTAATGATTACTATACCTCCTTAATTGCGTTCATGTAATTGACATCGGATCCAAAGTGCCCATATTCATTCTCAACTTGAAATGCAATGACAGGCCCACCAAGATGATACTAGATTTTCAAAAACACAATAATATTTTGGTTTTTTGTTTTCATTGCATAAGGATATTATCGTTTGATCGATGATTTTAACTGTACCTGGTATGGGGTGACTAGAGGCAGTAGGCTGTCAAAGTACCGCTCAACAGCGTCTACAAACAAGGGATATGTTGACCTAATTTTCATATCTGGATCGTGTAAAAGCCAGCTGAATAAGAAATTAATTTATAATTAAATTTAAAAATGCATAATTATAAAGATTTTATTGTTCGAAGGATTACTATAAAAGGAAGAAATATTTATTTAAAAAAAATATGTGTCTATCATCTATCAATTCACCATTGACATGTATGTAGATATTACTACTTTGTAGAATATAGTGAGCCCATAAATTCAGCACGGTGTGGCACATTAGTTGCGGTTCTGCTTCGTAACTTTGAAGTTGGTGGTTCAATCCCTCGCTGTACATTTTCACTTGTGTCCTTAGGCAAGGCACTTTACCTAAGGTTGTCTCTCTCCACCCAGGAGTACAAGTGGGTACCTGGTAGGTTCAAACATAAAATGCGCTGATTACAGCTGCAACATTATGGAATTCTTCCCAGGGAGTTGAGTATGTGTTACATATGTGCTTGATCCAATAACCCCCAGGGGGTAATAATGCGATGCTCTTAAAGGCCTTGTTGGCATCAAGCGCTGTATAAGTTTAACATATTATTATTATTATTATATTATTATTATTAATATTATTATTATTATTATCATAAATTATGGTCAACCTGTTACTTTTATTATTTATTTTATTTTATAACAATCGTCCAACAGGAACTCTTCGTTCCCACTTACAGGCGAAAATTGCAAAAAACATCAAAAATATAATCAATACAATAAAATCACAAGATATAAAAAAATTATTATTATTATTTATTGCTATGATTATAATTAATATTGCTATATTTACAATAAATATGTAAATTACTAAAAATTATTTATAATTGCAATTAAAATTATTATTATTTATTATATTGTTTTCATTACTGTGTATACTCACAATTTTGTGGTGATTAGCCAGGAAGTTCACTGAATATACAGGATAAATTAAAATCTTCACATACCTTGGTAACCCACCAAAATCCAATTCAGCACAGATGTAGGGACCAGGTCTTAGGATGACATAGAAGTCCAACTCCATTGCAAGCCGTAGAAAAGCACTAAAACACAAGAAATCTTAAAAACATTAGGAAATAGAAAGGTAAAGATGTTTAAGGAATGACAGTTTTAAATAAATTCAAAAATATAAACACAAAATAAAATTAAAATACATATTCATTATTATTATCATATTTCATAATTATTATCCTTACAATCACCACAATCATGAATCAAAATATATATTTAGTATTGTTCAATCAAATAAAATATTTCAAAACGTTTTATTCACGATATTAAATGTCAAACAAAAAATTCTGGAAAAAAGTTTGTCATTATCTTTCATTTTAAGATTTTGTTCTAGCTAGAACATGTTAAATTCATAACTACATATAATCCATTCTGGAGACAGGGAGAAAAAACAATGCTCTTCTCATTCTGTAAAATACATAATTAGCAACAATTTAACTTTTAGAAGGCAACTGTCCAGCTATATTACAGCTGACTAACCATTTGTTTATAGCTATTGACAAAGGTAGGTATTATAATATCTATACAATTACAATACCATTATCTCTCAAATCATTCTTCATTGAAAAAGTATTGGTTAACAAAAGATATGGCATAAAGCCCAGGTCACGGCATGACAACAGTCATGCAAATGCAGGGAAACGGACACAAAAAAATTAACAAATAATTTATTTAAAATGTTAATTGGAAATTCACAATAAAAATACTGTATAATATACTGTATATTTTGTATTATTGAATAAAATAAATATACAAGGTCACATAATATAAAATCTAAGAAAATCCAATTTATCTTAAATGTCAATTGTAATTTCATAATAAATTGTATAATATTGTATACAAACATCTTTGTATCACTTAAGAATATGATGGCCCCGTGGTGCATTTTAGTGCACATAGGAAAAATTGTTAGATTATCACTCCTGTCGGCATCAAAAAATTGGAAAATCTTGATGTGGAAATAAAAACAAAATTGTTTTGCCACATCACTAATTTCAACAGCATTAAAAAACTATGCAATTTTGTGACTGGAAATACATTTTCTTAAAAAAAAACAAATAAAATTAAACCAGTTTTTATAAAATATTTAAAATATTTTTGCCAAATAAAAACAGTCGATTAAAACAAAAGCAAAAAAAAAGTGATAAATAAAAAAAACCTCCCACAACCATCACTTTTTTTTTAAAGAGTGATAATCTAATAATATTTTCTGTGTCCTTAGCAAGTATTATTTGAGAGCTAGTATTCTACCACTGAGGCACATGATTATAAAAAAACAAATATATTTTAAAAATATACTTGTCTGTCATAATTCTATTAATCTGCAATTTCAACTTCTATATTACACTCAACAACAATGCCCTATTTGTATTATTTTTCTGCTGCACTCACAACATTTTTTATACTTGTGGGTGGTGAAATTACGAATGTTGTTGATGTTCAGTGAATGTACATCATGGAATTCCAACACAAGCCCAAAGAAAGAGCCTGGAAAAACGATGACAATAAATGTGGCATAATTTATAACTTACACAATATCTAGCATTCCAGAAAATTCAAATTCACCTTTCACCTCTTCATGCATATTCCAGGGAATGTACCTAGGAATGGAAAAAAGATCAAATTGGCAAAAGGATGTACAATACAGTACACTGAATTTACAGATACAGTGATTTAGTACCGGTCTAATTTTTGTAACTTATATTGGGGATGTGGAGGATTCACTCACAGTGGTGAAATCTCTCCCCCACCCCCTCCACCCAACTAACAACATTTTTCAAAATAAAAAAAAATGGAGAAACAAAGAAAATTATAATCAAATTTTAAGTCTGAGAGTGCTATTTTCATCTACAGATGCTGTGGTGGTCGAGATCCTCCATTTGTGGATCCACCAGTGATTCATGCGTGTCACAACAGCTAATTCAATATGGGTGTTAGTGAGACCATCCAATTGAGTGGTCCAGGGTCTTACTATACTTGACTTAACATAAAATTCCTTCTCCACAACAGCTAAAAATTATTTAGGTCTATACTTACGTTGTTATTGTGTTCAGACCACAAGCTTTCATTTTTATCATCCTGTCCTTCCAATACTCGGGTACGACCCTGAAATAATGCAGGCTGCCACCCAGAAGCAGTACATTTTTGCCATCAATAGTGAACTGTCTCCCTACATTTCTTAGGGATGGTGGTTCAATCTCTTTTCTTACAATCAGACCAGCCAAGAGTTTTGCCTCCTCGATGTGGAACTCCCTTCGCTCCCAAAGCCAAAATAGGAAGCCTAAGATCAGTAGGGCCAAAACCAACCATCTGATTATGTGTACAGGACGAAGTGAAACCCTTGACATAATTTAAGCTGGGTTAACCTACATGCTTTTTAATTCTAAGGTAAGTATTGTAGACTAGGAAGTACAACTTTAACAATATCTTCCCTCCGGTCTCACACTCGTGATTTGTGATGCAGCTCCTCTCGATTGTGTTTTAAAAGGTCAATTGTCCAAATCATGGTCACACATCAAGCAGATGGTAAAAATTTTCATACTGTATTGCTGTGTATCAACAGTAATTTATAACTATAATAGTTAATGCAAATTTAAGCATAATAAAATCTGATTTGAGAGATATTAGCCTGTATGCATACATGGTAAACAAAATTTGTCCTTGAATAAACAAAAGTAGAATTCATTGAAAAGTTTTGCGCATTCCTGCTCTAGAGGGCACTGTAATTGATGACGACTTTGAGCTGAGAAAGTGCTACCTTCTTAATTTAATAAAAAGAAAATAATATAAAATATTATTACGCACACTAGAAATACAAATCAGGGATAGTCAATCCTGCTCAAGTACTTAAAATCACCTCATATTACCTTTTTAAGGTAAAGTATCCCTCAACTTTACCTTCGTGCCCCCATCACCCACCCACCCCCTACCATTTCAAAACTCCTAGATACGTCACTTTCCACGGAGCGAGAGGATATTGTACATGATTAATTCTGTAGGCCTATCCAATGATCTAGGTAAAAATCACTTATATAAATCCTAAATATGTAAGGTTAATGAAATAAATACCACTGCAATATATTAAAATCAAGAAAGAACAATATTTTATTAATGTTCTGTTTATTGAATATATCTTGAAAGTTAATAGCAAGGAAATTAAAGGACTCAAAATGTGAAAAAAAAATTAAAATTTATACTTATAACATTTAATGTAGAAAGAGTAAAATATACACTTTCATATGATTTATATCTTGTTTTGGTGGCATTATTTGTATTTGGTGGAATTCCAACAAAATACTGTATACCGTACTCAACGAATAAGCATCCCGTTTGTATAAACGCCCCTCCTAATTTAAATAAGCATTCCCTTGGTTTTCATTCATCTTTTAAAACAATATCATGTGAATTTTTCTTGGCAAGCCAATAATCCAATAAATCCTGGGATTGCAGTCGGCATGATTTGAGCTGCAGAATGGACTCACATTTTCTTCTTATGTAAATTTCAAAATATGGAAATCTCTCCTGGACAGATGAGAGCTCCCTGGACAGTATCTTTCCAACTTTCCTGTTCTTACATTTGTCGCGTCTAGTCCTACTTCTCTTTTCTTTTCCTGTCAATTTGCAAATATATTCGGCAATGTAAACACCAGGGTATCCCACAAAAGCCATGTAGGTTCTTCTGGCGGTGATTATGCAGTACACCGGGAGACGATTCCCAACTCTTTTCCTTTCAAACGGCTCGTATTGCACACTAGGACCAACTGTTTAAACGTCTCATCTGAAAGACGGTGCAGCCCTCCATCTGAAACACAAGGAGAGCGATGGATATTTTACTGGGGATTAAGATCTCAACGGTTCTGCGTACACACGGTTGGCTGTCATCAGTTTAGCCGACTGAGCTAAGCTGCTCTCATGTGAGGTCCAAATATAGGACCATTACACCTTTTCTCTGCTTTTATCATTTGAATTTTATAATAATAAAGAATCAATCTTATACTGACTGTCTTTCATTCTTGATTTTATTTTTTGTGTTGAGAAGATGTTGGAATTGTAGTCCATTCTACTGGTACCTGCCTACCTGCTCTAGTACTTCAACTGCCTTAGAAGTTCCATTCACCTCTGCGTACCGTTGGGCTGAGGTCATGTTTATCCACAAAGCTAACCTTCTCAGCACTTTGATGCTGCTCAAAAATAACAATCTGAAAATGGTATTTATGAAACTATTATATTTGTAACATGATAACATAACAATAATTACATTAAACATATACTGTTTGAGATATAAACATGAAAATTAAATAATTGAATTTGTTACTTTGTACAGTATATACCTGTGTATAAGTCGACCTGCGTACAAGATTCCTGAGTTTGTGAAGACTTTTGGATGATTTTTTTTCATGTCGGCCATTTAGGAAATTTGTAACTTTCACACACCATGTAAATATAGCTAACAAAATCTCTATTATGATTGGTTCTAAATACTCTAGACATTTTTACTGTACAAAATTGTATTGTACATGGGGTACCGCTCACTTACTCACTGACAATATGAACTGTATATTGAATTGACGACGAGTCCCGTTTCACCATCGGAATTCATACTTTTTGCTGCCCTTCATGGTGTGTTGTGCATATAAGATGACCCCCCCTGTTTTTCAATCATAATTTGCTATTTTAAGCCTTGTCTTATACGCGAATATATATGGTATATTCAAGTTATTAGCTATCAATCAATTGTTAATTAAAAGGAGAAAATATTTTTCTTGCCAATGAATAGATGCATAAATATTACAGTTTCTAAACTCTGCCTAAGACCCTTAAATTTACTTGCAGTGAATTTAAGTATGTAAAAGGAGTGTTTCTCTACAAATTGAATTTCATCTTTATTCAAATGTTACCTCATTTCTGCCTGCCTTTAACAGTGGCCCTGGAATGTAGTAGGTTCTTTGGGGTCCTATTCTCCAGTACCTTCCGATATTGAAGGCGTTTATAAACACAATGCCTTTATTCCAGCCCTATAGCAGATAAAAAGACACCTGTTATTTTGCAATGTGTTGCATGTTAAGTTATATATACTTTCACTATTGCACTAATTTTGTGGTCATCAAAACTTGGTGTACAATCCCATTTCTCACCCTAACCCTTTCTGATAAATATGGTCATCAAAGTAAGCATCCTTTAATGTGCTTTGAAATTAATGGTAAGGGTGAGTTCCACCTATTGATGACTCAATGCTTTATCTTTTTTTTTTGGTTAAGAAATTTTTCAAATGAATTGTTTGTATTTACATCCTGCACCTACCTCCATGCTCAGGAATGTGTCCTTAGGTGTCCTATTTGGTATTTCAAAGGATCCTTTATAAAGTGCTGGCACTTTGATCTCAGGTCTCATATCCTGCCATTTGTCTGCTGCCATCACTCTGTAAAAGACAAGATTTATAAGTAGCAAGTAATGCTTGACTGATTTATTTTTTGGTGTACTTTGGCTGATAGAACTAGAAAATGTAATATGAGTTGGGGCCCTGTGGACTTTCCGCATCCACATTGTAGTGTTCACCTTGTTGTAAATTTGTCAGGGAACTGCAAGACAATTCACAGCTCTTTTGCATATAATCCAAGTTGAACATTTTACAAAACATCTGTAGCTGTGTGATGGAATGGAACCATTGATGCATAGATCTCCATGGTACAGCAAACACATGACTGTTTCTCACAAATTTTAATAACCAACTGCGCTATGATGTTTTCATGACTGTCTATAAATAATGACTTGATTGTTTTCTGTTCTGGTGGACTCCCCTTGAATTGAAATTTAAACAATTTCTCGTAATCTCGAAAGCTCCAGTGAGGCAGTAGAGCTAAAAAAGATCTATTAAAATCAATCAACTATTAATCAATCAGCCGAGTGTTTCTAGAGCTTCTCATGAGGGCAGTATAATAGAGGCAGTAGAGCTAAAAAAGATCTATTAATCAATCAGCCTCATGAGGGCAGTATAAAAGAGGCAGTAGAACTAAAAAAGATCTACTAATCAATCAGCCCAGTTTTTCTAGAGCTCCTTATCAGAGCTAAAAAATTTAAAATACAATTACGAGGAATCACTATTCCAACGTTACTTACTCGTCAATAAAAGGCTTTTTAAATTCCAAGGGATAAATTAACCAGTCTGTCTGTACCTTTCCATTCACTTCTACATCATGTAGTAATCCTAAAAGTACAGAAATGATAGAATATATTTTTCAAAACTTTATCAACAAATATAAGTTGGTTTATGATAGTCCTAAGTAAATTATAGTTTTGAGATGAGAATAGGAAAAACTCAACTATCCCTAACTGCGGAATAACATTGCAGTACCCGCTGCTACTTGAGAATTGTATTAAATACTAGCCACTCCACAAGGCTAGTTATCTGGAAGTCATGGATTCAATTTCCACCTGAACCACTTTCAAGATTTTTGGTAAAGACACCAGGATAGTTATCTGAAGGTCGTGGGTTTGATTCCCACCCGAATCTCTTGTGAGATTTTTTTTCGCAAGTATTTGGGAAAGTACTGAGCATTTAGTATGACCACATGTCAGGTAGGGCAAGATTGTCATTCCTAATACTACTGATGCAAAACATCATCGGAAAAGTCCTACCTTTTCTGTCAGAAATCATGTCTTTCTTAGCACTAATTCTTCCTTGATTTTCCACAAGAATATCGAGCATAATGACATCTTCAGACTTCAACTCCTTTATTTCCTGATGTAAAATTAGCACAAATAATTATTATTCATTATTAGGCACTAGTATATACCCGTGCTCCACATGGTGTTAAATGAGCGTGAAAAGTTGGTGAGGCATAGTTAAATGTTGTGGGAAGTTGAGGAGGCAATCATTGAGGGTGTACTAGTTACATTGTCATTATTTTTTTCTTTTCTCTTTGTAAATAATTTTTTTCGTAAGTGTCTCTGCCCAATAGTCCTTGTGAGGAATTGTGCATTTTGTTAATACATTGGAGTACAGTACCTTCTTCAATGTGAAAATGCAACATATGCAGTAATAACGTGTTTACTCCGAAGTGTTCATTGTTTGAAAGCGGTGTTGTGGTATTGTCTCTGATTATGTATGGCTATGAATGTGTTTACGTTGGACTTGTAACATGCATACTAGACCGGGTGCGTGGCAAATTGACGTCACGACAGTTATGAGATTTAAAAGTAATCAGCAACAAAATGTGTTAATTTTGCCAAAAAAAAAACACATGTAGGATAACAAAATTGAGTCCTAATATGGTGGACATTTGTCCCATTGGTGGTAGCTAAAACATATGTGAAAATCATAATTGTACTTGAAATACTTTTGGAGATATTTGGTGGACAGAGAAAAACACAAAATGTTATTTTAGTAGTATAGATATGAGCCAAGCACTGCCAATAGCATACTTAATCATTGCCTTATAAGTGACAATAATTTTCACAGGGCAAATATATACATATATGATCTTCTACACAATATGAGTAATAAGTCTGTTATGGGGGTTAGACAGTGTAGAGTACCTTCTTCACTTCTTCTAGGTTCAGAAGTTTGACAGGGTTGACCTTTGATCTTGATATGACTCCTGCTGGGTGGCCATCAAAAAAGACCTAATTCAAAAGAGAAAGAGATAATAGTAGACATGGAGCTGCAGGTAATTTGATGCACTCCAAATTTTTCCAAATATAAACACCATCAAAATCAATAATACAGATTGAAAATTACTGTTTTAAGAACATTTCATGTTTTTTCCTTTTGTTAGACTCAGAAAAGTACAATGTACTAATGTAGTGTAGTAATGTAATGTAGTAATATAATGTAGTAATGTAATGTAGTTTATATAGCGTTTTATACTGAAGTCTCAAAGCGCTCGAGGTGTGGACTAGCTCGTACAGTAAACTTGCTTCTTCTCTAAGGGTCCCTTCATGCCTGAGCTAGCCGGTAAACCGGTACCAGCTACTCTCGCCTCCACAACAGGGGGCTGTATGGACCAGTACACTGGGGTAATCCCCACTCGTCACGAAAGATGTACTGGGTTCTTTTAAAGTGCACATAAGCCAAATTGTGTACACTGATGGGTCTATGGTTTTTACTCCTTATCTGAGAAGCTTGTTCCACCACCAGAACCATAGGCGTGCGTGCCATCGAACCAGAGCCGATATTATGGGTGTAGGTTGTGGTACCCCTGCCTTAACCTCTCGGCCATCCAACTCGCCATCAGGTCAGAATTTACGGAATTAATTATATACTAAGTGTATTCAGTCTTGTTGCTTATGCATAAAAATATGAATCATACTTATCCTTGTACCAGCATAAATTACGCTATTTTAAAAATTATTTTAACATTATCAAATAAATTTAATGATTGATTAATGAATATCATCACACCTGAGCCCTATCATGTGGTAGCTGAACAAAATTTACTTCACTGGCTGCTCCTGTGACCTTTGTCCTATAGAGTATGTAGCCGTACCCTTGGCCACCGTTATTGTTTATTGGTAACATCTCCATCGGCATGACTTTTTTCGATTTAAATGGCGTCTAAAAAATCGAAAGTAAACAAAAACGAAATGAGGATGTATGTGCAAAGTTTTTCATATGGAATGCCAGATTTAACGGTACCATTTCATTTAGAGGGGTCTCGCTTGAAAAAATTTGCAATAGTTGGTTTATTCAGGTAAAGTACACATGTAAATTATATAAAGCAATTAGTAAAGCTCCGCATAGTACACTATAGGAAAATTATTATACGAAGTTAAATTTAATTTGCTTGAAAAAATTTCCTGAAGGCCTGCAAAGCACGAAGGACATTTTTAAATGCATTAAATCTAACCTAAGTATAATAATTTTCCGTTAGTGTACGATGCATTCTTTACTATTTGCTTTATAAGTCAATTGCTGTCTTTTAATGTTAGTTTTGATAACCAACTGTTGTAGCAGTCATCGGTTGCATTGTGATATGATCAGTATTCGGTGTGCGTATTTACATTTAGCTGTGTGTATGCTGATTTGTGCTCCTGCAGTACGCTTTAACTACACATCGGCAGTATTTGGATATAATGAATAACTATTGTAATTTGTATTGTGTAAGAACATGTTTGTAAAATTATTTTGATAGACATTCGTCAAATAAATAAACATTTCTTAAAGCATTCAAGAGAGAAGACAATCACTGACTTTTTGGTCGGTCAGGACTCGTAAAAATCGTGTGATGATTTCATAACTATGCTAGGCTACGGCCTAGCAGTAGGAGACTGGCCATAGGCCTACACCTAAGTTTGTACCTTGTATCTTTAAAATAGGTCTAGAATATTCCTATTAACGTTCAGTTTGTTTAGTTTATTAGGGTTCATTGATTCAAGGAATTTCTTAATTGTTCATACTAATATTGAATTTGAAGTAACTTTCTTCGGGTTCTAGGTTAACCTTGTTTTACAAAAGTAATTTTCAATTACAATTCAATTTTCATCGCGGTGCGCGATATCTTCGCGGTGACAAAAATATTAGGTATTTTGTTTGCACACGAACCTAAAAAACTCAAGCCAAGCGCCCACTATGTGAACAATTATTGGACTGTAGGGGATAGGGAAATAACATTGGGAGTTGTAATGATGACGTCACGATTGACTTATAAAATATAATATTATATTATATAAGGGACAAACAGATTGTTGGGATGCAAACTTAGAGTGTACGTTATCATTTGCAAAATTTGGTATAAATTAACAAAATGTTATGTACTCACGCCAAGAAGAGGTAGCATATCCTTTAAGGTAATGAAATGAGTGATAGTAACTTCTCCATATGCTATTTTACCAACAGAGACAGGAACACTAGGCAAATTACCAGGAACTAAATATAGTGAAACACAGAAGGTATAGGTTCATAAATATAACACAAATAGTAATCAACAGTGTGCATAATGTATGTACATTACTATTAAAAATAAGTTCTCGTAATCTCTAAAGATTCTTTTGAAGTGTTCCTTAGAACACTTCATTAACCGATCGCGCCATCCATGGTACGTGTCCTATTAGTGGTAATGGCAGTAATGGAATGTCCTTGCTAAAACCCCTGTTTTGTTTTGTAGGTGTATGGGGCACCCTGGGGTCCCAATTAACAATAATTAGAATGTGCATTTGTACAAAATTAAAATGTGTGAAAAATTAAAAAAATAAAATGTCTTAAAATTGAAAAAAAAATTGAATACAAAGATGCAATTCGAACTCCCTTGGTTCCTTAGAACACTTTGTTAACCAATCACGCCATCCATGCGATGTGTCCTATTAGTGGTAATGGCAGTAATGTACAGTCCTTGCTGTTTTGTTTTGTTGGTGTATGGACCACCCTGGTTTCCAACTTTAAAAAGGGCCATGAACGTTTGTTGGAAATCCCCTCTAGTTTATGTGTACAAAAATTCCTACACGTCCGTTTAAAACCGGTGACGTGGACCTAAAAAGTTCTATTGACCAATCAGCAGTATAATAGAAGCAGCAGCGTATGTTGGCCCTAACGGCCGACCATACAAAAAAGATCTATTAATCAATGACCAAAAAAGATCTATTAATAAATGAGCTGAGTATTCCTAGAGCCTGTCTCTTATACACATCTAGATGTGTATAAGAGACAGGTACCACACTACACTACAATTTGTAAGAAGTATATTTTATTATTCGATAGTATGAACAAATACCTATAAGATATTACAAGAATTGCTAACCTGCTTCTTTGGGAGATTCTTCCTTCAATAAAGCTCTAATTTTGATATATTTATCAGTGACATCACCAGCTTCAGAAAGGGGAGCATCGTAATCTAAAAAGGCAAACAAACATAACAAATATTAAGAAATCATGCATCTGTAAACTTGATTTGTGTCTGTTCATTTTGTAAACTTGTTTTTTGTATCTATTTTATGTTCCATTCTTTTGAGTACTATTGTTTTAATACTCAATTTTATTCAAACACATGATTGTAAGCTTCAGTTGATAGACAAAAGGTACCATTGCATACATACCATAACTTGTAACAACTGGTTGGTATGTTAGATGATTAACTATGTTGGCACCATTCCAAAATCCAAAAGTTGTGCCACCATGAAACATGTAGAAGTTAATAGATGCTCCAAGCTCTAGGACTTCTTTTACAGCCAGAATGATCCCTACCAGAAGAACAAATAATTTTGTTCATCATAAATTTACCAGCAATTAAACAATGGTGGTGCAAGTTGTAAAGGGGTTCAGGGGTGCTTATTCCCTAGTCAGAGAGTCAAAGGCCCCCAGCAGCCATGACTCAGCCCAAATAAAGCAACATTTTATGTTTCCTATTTTAAACAGTTAAATAATTTGTTCAATATTGAGCTTTCTATGGGATGCATGTAGCATGAATACAATGATGACTCAAAAATTAGGGTGCATGTTATTATACAGAATCCTAAAAAGAAATCCCCATGGTTAGGGGCAAAATTTGACAAGATTGACCTATACAGATTTTCACACTAATTCATGTGAAGTTTTTGGCTCAAAAGGTGTCAAAATATAAGTTGAAAAATTTTTTATTTTGAGACTGCTCTAGTTTTTGCGATACTGTACAATGAAAAAAAATTAAGTGTCCCCTTTAATAGGGGTTGAATATGTATAGATTTGAATATTTGGCCTACCCAGAGAGTGTTCCCGTCCCATTAATAGTGGTGTCCGCTTAATAGGGGTTGGCCATAGTATTAAAAGATATAATTCTCATCATTTCACGAAAAAGTGTCCCGTGAATAGGGGTCCCATAAATAGGGGTGTCCCAAAGTACTGTAGGGTTCTGCTGAATTACATTGGTCGTATATTTTGTATCTTGAACGGCATATTTATGATATTAGCTAAAGGTCTTGGGTCGTGGGAAGCTATGGCAAAAAATTATGAGTCCTAAGGAGTAAAAGGTTGCCGACCCTAGATCTAGAGCTCACAAAGAGTGGAGCTGGATTTGGGGTATGATGGTTGTATGACAACGCCGTCCACCTTATGGACAGTTTAGCCTGCTGTGTAACTTCCTGTACAGTACACTCAGATAATTATTTGTCATCTATAAGAAAACTGTATACCTTTCCAGGGAAATATATGATGCTGTTCACTCCAGTGGTCAAACCATCCTAGCCAATATTCCATCACCATCAATGGTACATCATCCCCCTGAAAAATAAAAGTGGCAATTCTCACTGTTTTTAAGCCACATTAACATTCTCTCTTTCCTTCTCTCTCTCTGTCTCAAAATAACTAACCTGTAATTTCCTTAGTATTCCAAAATGCATGTTAGCCTCCTTGTAAAAATTCACTGTCATTAGAACTTGGAAAAATAAAATACAAAAAAGGAATTAGTCTAGCAAACATATTCACATAAGTCAAATAAATACTCACATGAACTAAGGTTTGTACTTTTACTAACCTCCAGGCATGTACCCTTCCTCGAGGTAGCCGGTTGTACCAGAAGTCAACAACTTTTCCTTAACTCCTCTGGTTAAAAGTATCTTTTAAATGTCAAAGACAAAAAAAAAAAAGTAAAAGAACAAACAAAATTTACTTCATGTTTCTTGAAATAAGTCATATGGAATGATATAATCTTCAATTATGTTTATTATGTTTTTAATGATTACAGTACCTTTTTAATCGCATTCATGTAATTGACATCGGATTCAAAGTGCCCATATTCGTTCTCAATTTGAAATGCAATAATAGGACCACCAAGATAATACTAGATGTTTAAAAAGACAATAATATGTTATTACCTACACCAAGGAGGTTACGTATTCACTGCTATCTGTCTGTCTTTCTGTCTGTCTAATAAATGGATCATCATAAAATTTAGTAGAATGGTACATATTAATCAGAGAAAGACAAAATTCAATTTTTGGAAGAAAAGATCAAAGGACAAAGTCAGAGTCATAGAAATTCTATTTTTTTACCCTCCAGCATAAAAGAAAATAATAGAATCACTCACGTACGTATTCAGGCAGAACTCAAGAAAACAATGTGCCTGAATACGATGGGCAGTTCCAGTACTTTCTTGAGGGTATTCTGCAGTACTCAACAAAAAAATGTGCCTGAATACGATCCTATTACTTTATTGAGGGTATGCTGCAGTTTTGCCCATTATACATGGCCTGCATATTGTTGGTACTGTATTCAGGCACAGGATGGAGGTATGCACTCTACGAAATGACTGCTCTAGTTTTTTTTTTTCATTGCTTAATACGGATATTGCATGATTGATGATTTTCAGTGTACCTGATATGGAGTGACGAGCGGCAGTAG